GAACTCACGGGAGAGTGGGAGAGGGAGTCGCATTCACCAAAACAAAAAAATTCTCCTCTACTAACCTGGTTCTACCTTTTTTCTTTCTTTCACTCTCCTTTGAGGTGCACTCTGAAAACTGAGCAGTCCCACGCAATTCCACAGCCAATGCTTTTTACCGTCTCCAGAAAAAGACAACTCCATCTTTAACTAAAGGCCACCCCTGCATGAGATTGAGGAGTCAAGCTTTGTTCTGACTGATATTTCTTTATGCATCAGACAGACCTTGTATTTGGAGTTTCATTTGTTGGCTAATGTGCCTGAGCAAATTCCAGACTGATACTTATACAAGGGATTTAAAAGGGCCTCCCATGTGTAATCAACTCTCTTGCCTCAAAAAAACTCATATTGAAAATCCCGAGGAAGGAAAACAAAATAAAATCTCCAAAGACCTCCTATGGACTATTTCATACCTCAGGCTTGAAAATAACTGGGCCAACTGAGAAGAATTTTGATTCTTTTTTAAATGGAGATTTTGCTCCACCTGATCCAGCTGAGATCACTTTTATGTGACTGCACGTCTTCCCAAAATGTACTTTAAAATGGAAATGCTGAAAGATCCTCTACAACAAGAGCATCTTTACAAGTCTCTCCCACACCTTCTTCTGTTTTCTTTTGTTAAATGAAAAAAATCAATTACCTTTCACAGAGAGGAGAGAACTGCAGTGAAGTATCAAGAAAGCCTGGAAACTCACTTTAAAAAACAAAATTTAAGCAGTTCTGGCAATTTTAGTTTGGGAACCTAAACCGGCAATTCCTTGAGTCCCACGGAAAAGGAGGTATAAAAGCATATACAGTCATGCCTGTACTCTGATACTGGAAAGCACAAGCAATTAAGCAAAAGGCAGAATACAACAGAACCCATGCAGTTTAATTTCTGACACCCCTTGCATTTTTTTTTTGGGCTGCAAACCTTGAAGCCTGCCACATTTCAGGAAGCAGAAAGCTAAGAAATACAAGAAGTCCCTCAAAGCACAAAGGACACCTGCAGTCCAGGCAAGTGGATTCCAAAGTGCCCAGATTTGAAAGCACAGGTAGAAGCTCTAAGGCTGTTTTAGCTGTATGTATGACTCCTTTAAACAAAACAAAAAAACCCAAAACCCCAACCAGTGTTCAAACAGTGAGGTCTAATTTGGCGTTGACAGATTTCACAAGTAGTATCACCTAACACTGGAAAGTGAGATGTATTTAAGTGTCTCTTAGACCAAGACGGAGATTAAGTCGGCCATTACGTATGCCTTCATTCCTAACCTTCCCACATTTTCTCCCCCTTGAAGTGCTGTAGCAGATTTTACACCTCAAGGGGAAAAAGTGCAAATAATTACTTCAGTTAGGCAATATGGGCTCAAGCAAAAGCTCTGTCTGTTCCCAGGGGGAGTCAGTTTATACTAGAGACGTATGTGCATTATTGCATTCAGAGACACAAAACTGTGACATTTCCTAAAGGAGACAAGTGCACAGAACACTTTCTGCCACGCATTCAGTATTTGAATATGAAGGCAGTATAGTCTGCGAAAAGCACTTTTAACTGGCAACCTCACAAAAATGACGGCACTGGGCAAGGCAAAAAATCCCAGTATCCCATTTTCAGCAGCTGGCACTCGGTGTTAGAAAACACAATGTGAGCACAGGAGTACTAAGCACTCTTCCCTCCTCGCTTCTGGCAATCGCAGGATTCAAGCCTTGCTGAGTTACAGCAGTGAAGCCATGATGCACTTCTAGAAAAGGCAAAGGCTTTGATCCCTTGTTTCTTTCCAAAAAGTGACCTGTCTAAGATGAAAAAACTTCTAAACTTCTTTTAGAGTTTTCACTGCTCAATAAAACTGACATTTACTTAGCTGCCTCGTTCCTAGGAGTCTTTAGATATTAAATAAAGGTCGGGACCTAGGCTAGTATAAAATAGCTTTGCCCTATTAACCTATGAGAAACTGGCCCAATTTCCTTACCATGAAAACCTACACTAAAATTTTGCCAGCTAGGGTGATAAAAAAAAGCTTATTAGCTAGTTCAGTGTCTAGGCTCTATCTGTCCTGATCTTCAAATACCTGCATTCATAACTTAGGAGTCGAAGTCTGACTGACTTTTCTGACTGTTCATTTTTGGCCTTTTACTTGCTGGGAACATAGCTGTCTGCTTCAGCTATGCTCTTAATTGAATTTTCTTCCCTGGATTACCTCCAGAGAGTCCTTGAAAATGGGTAGTTCATAGAACAGGACAGGCATTGTTTATAGGAAAAATGGGATATTTGCAGATTATTTACATGTTGCATAGGAAGGTTTTGTTGTGGAACTACATAAGAAAATAAAGAAATGGTAAAGCTTATCAGGCTGTCAAGCTGCTTGTTTTGTTCCTTCTCCCATTAAATAGCCATTTCTGGAGAGCAATGAGATTGGGGTTCAAGGCATTTGCATCAAAGCGAGTGTGGGGCTGCGATGTTAAGTCACTGCCGAGTGCCATCTGGGAAGCTTTTTGAAGACAACACGCCAGACCTCTTTCCAAACCTGATCATTTCTGAAATACAGCACAGAGAGGAAACCCAAAGCACTGATTGCTAGTTTGCACACAGGGAAGAAAACCTTAGTTTTTTCCCTGCTTGTTACCATCGCTTCATTCCACAGCTTTTTGACTATCCCACTTTGGCTGCAGATCTTCAAACAGACCTAACCTCCAGGTCTGAAGTCAATTAAACAAGTTATTTGGTGCACATTTTGTACATGGGTATTTCCAGGACTGGAGCCCTTGTAACCTTAATTAAAGAGAGGCCTGTAGTCTCAGTAAACAGTTTCATTTTTAAAAAGAACTTGAAAAAAAATAAACACTACTACAAAGACAAAATGCCTGTTTACCCAGGAGAAGCTTCCTCGATTAGTGAAGCCTGCGACATAATTTTCAAAGCAGCCACTGAATGTCGCTGCATCTAGGTGGGCCCCTCACTCCAAGAAGGACATTGAGGTGCTGGAGCGTGTCCAGAGAAGGGCAACAGAGCTGGTGAAGGGCCTGGAGCACAAGTCTGATGAGGAGCGGCTGAGGGAACTGGGACTGTTTAGTCTGGAGAAGAGGAGGCTGAGGGGAGACCTCATCGCGCTCTACAACTACCTGAAAGGAGGTTGGAGCGAGGTTGGGGGTTGGTCTCTTCTCCCAAGTAACCAGCGAGAGGACGAGAGGAAATGGCCTCAAGTTGCACCAGGGGAGGTTTAGACTGGACATTAGGAAAAATTTCTTTACTGAGAGAGTGGTCAGGCCTTGGAACAGGCTGCCCAGGGAAGTGGGGGAGTCCCCATCCCTGGAAGTATTTATAAGACGTGTAGATGAGGCGCTTTGGGACATGGTTTAGTGGGCATGGGGGTGTTGGGTTGACGGCTGGACTTGAGGATCTTAGAGGTCTTTTCCAACCTTAATGATTCTATGATTCTATGATTCTATTTTAGGTTTGGAGGTAGGATCTGGATTTGAATTCTGGCTGCTTAGCTGCAATGCAAATCCAGTTTCGCAGTCTGGAGGCATCAGAGTAGTAGGTGCTGCCATGAAGCATAGGCATTTTTGAAAGTTTCCTTACAGCTATTAAAACAATAGAAAAGGAACAGATATTTCATCTCCTATAACCTAGAAATAATAATTCTATTCCCGGAAGAAAGCATATCAGGAAGGAATAATTTTTCTCCAAAAATTCTTTGCCAGGTCTCGCCTCATATGAACAAAACATAGGAAAATATTCCTGTAATTTGCTGACAACAAGCAAATACATTTTTGTCAGTGAGCAAGAGAACTTGAACCAAAAAATTAACTAATAAAATAAATTCCCTTCTTTTAAGGCATAAGGGAGTCTTTGTAAGTTTTGGAATAAAAAACTCATGTAAGCTCTGAAAACTGTCTCTCCATACAATCTTGTCCTTGTTGAATAAGTATTGAGATCAAGTGACACAGAAGACTTTTCCCATCTTGTCTTTTGTGGATGACAAAGATCCACAAAAGATTTTTTTGTCTTTTGTGGATCTGTGCATCAGCCTTTGTGGACCACAAAAGACTGCTGGTAATCCGATGTTATACAACTTAGCCTTTCACTCATTCTGAACAGAAACACGATGTGCCTTTACTGGATAGGGATAAAAGCAGGCCGTGGACAGATTTTCAAGACTTTCTGTCGAGACTACTCTGGTTTCCCAAAAAATAGTTTAAGTCAGTACACGGGAGAAGTAAAGCAGCACCTCAACCATTCCCTGCACAGAAGATAGGTCTTCCCGCAGACTAATAAAGCTGAATACACTGAAGCACGAAGCTCTGAACTCAAAGTGAATTCCTCCACTACCTCCTTCAGCGCAAGTTATGTCATGCTCTATTCCCAACAGCTGTGACTTAGAAGAAGCAGCATCTTCAGCAATACCATGAATTATAAATACCATGAATACTATGAATTTCATCATCCTTTGTCTGGTTTCACCAGAGACTGAGTGCAGCAATTCACTACTGGCAACAAAGGACGCCAGCTATAAGCCAGCTTCTTCAGTGGAGAAACCCCCACATTTTTTTGGTAACCATATTGGTTTCCAGACAAAGGGTGTGATCACAACTGCCATATGCCTTTCACAGTGAGCAGCGCCATTGCTGTAGAGGAAACAGACTAGCTAACGAGCCAGCAGACTTGCTTCTTGTTCACTGTGCAGTGGACAAGCAGGCATAGACGCCTCCAGACCACTGGCTGCCAGTCCTGTTCTGGTCTGCATCCCACAGCAGATACGGAGTCTCGGATGTTTACTGAAGACTCAAGAGCTTTGCCACATTATGATGACACATGATACACAAAGCGTCATGTTACCACACTCACAAGCTCACCTTTAAGAGTGTGAAACAGGTCCTTCGCACACCAGCCTTACTCAACTTGGAAGCCCTAATACCAGTGTAACAAACATCTATTGTTGAGTACCAGCATTGTACTGAATCATTTTAGGCGCATCGAAACTTACACAGTGTGTGCTGGAGATGATGACGGAGCTAGAGATGAAGCTCAGACCATCGTTCATACTGACTTGGAGAGCTGCTTCCCTGGAAAAAAACCACAAGAAACAACTCAGGCCAGATAGTCCACAATCCTCTACTAGATAACATCCTCTGGAACCTGGGCTCTTGATGCACAGAAAAGCCTTTTGTACAGGTTAATTCACCCTGCTGGTGCACTCTCTCCCCTGTGCTCCAATGCACACCTGCCAATTAACCCAACAAGCACAAGAGACAATGTCAGAATTAGATGCATATAAGAACAACAGAATACAGTGAGATGATGCAGACTCATTTTCCCACAGGCAAAATAAATATTTGAGTACGTAGAAAAAACATACATGCCAACTTCTCGTAGCACAGGTGCTGGGCAGAGTAAGTAAGTATCTTCCACTACAAAAGGCTTCTCATCTGGAAAAAAGAAATATTGGGATTTATTACCTGGTCCGTAATACAGGCCTTAAAGACCAAGCTTAAATAATGTTTTTCCTCACTCTTGATACATAAACAAAATCAAACGCTGTATGAACGATAAAAAGCTACTGCACAGCAGTTGTTCCAAGGTAACTGTAGGCATGCTTTTAGCCCATGGAGTTACAGAGTAAATACAAGGTAACAGCAGATACCCTGCACTTCAGGAAAAAACAAGAATTCAACACTTAGCATTAACCCCCCGAGAAAGATGGGGAAGTGTGGCAGCTGACCCTCCTTCCTCATTTCTTTGTAGAGCCCTTGTGAAAACTGTCTTGTTTTCAGACTGCCACAGCTCTCTGTCATGCTCACTGTGAAACTCCATTCCACAAAGCTCTTTGCGCCACCGTTCCTACAAAAGGGCTGAGGACTACCTGCCCCTGCAGAGCTGAATGCCTCAGGGCAATTGGAAGCCCTGCGCCGCCTGTCACCCACATGTCGCACGCAGCACCCTCGCCATTCCTACAGCTGCTCCATGCTGCTGAAGTCTATCACGCCACACATCCAAACCACAACAAAACTGAAGATACAAAGCTTTTTGAATGGTCAGAGTAAGTTATCACAGCCACTCTATACAGGAGACCAGATGGAGTTGCAACAGATATAATTGAAAATAGCTGGGTTAAGAAAATTGTACATTACGGAAAGTTTTGCACTTCAAGGCAGACTTGTCTGAACCTAAATTAAACCTTCCAATCTAAATTATACCATGATTTTAAAAGTGTGTGTGAGAAAAATTATTGGTAGGCAATTGCCGGGGAAACACGAACATCAGCTAATACTCTTTTGTTGTAGACTTAAATCAGAAGTTTATACCACCTCTCTGGTGACCAGAGAGATGGGGATCCCAAGGAACTTCCCAGCCCATTTGCCAGCTGACTAGAGATCGGGCAGGTTGGCAGAAAACCAGGCAGACAGGCTGGGTGGTTTTTGTTTTTTTGGACTGGAAACCACACATTCCTGCAGAAGGGGTTGATTCTGCTGAATCAGCATTTTCCAGAAGCACGTCACTGCATCAGAAAGCTTTCTACCAGCTGTACTTATAACCATCTCTAGGGCCTTCTATAGAGATGCTTATAGACCTGAAATGAGCTGTTACCAAATATTACCAGCTTCCTAGAATTTTCCAGTTAAAATTTTCATGCTGTTTGAAAGCCCCTCCTCTCCTGACAGATTCCTTCCCCTTCTCCTCTCAAACCTGTAGGTTTCAAATCTCATCTTCAAACCAAATCTTGAATCTTATCTCTATATACTGCAGGGTGGAAGAGACCTTCATTCTCTGGGGCCGTATTGAAAGAGGAGTACAATTCATCACCACCTCACTTTGCTATTTCAATCACAGACAGCAAACCTGGGGTCTCTAACCATCCGAAGTGTCTTCACAAGTGCATAGCGCACTTAACTTCCCAGGGTACACGTAACACTGGCAAAGTGAAAGCAAGGTTACAGTGTTCAGTGCATCACTGACAGGGAATGGAAAGGAGCAAAGATAAAAGTTTAATCAAATCGTTTAGCAATCTAATGAAGAGCTGAGCTATTCTGACTGTCTGGTCTTTTGTTTTTGAGGAAACTTGTGCAAGTTACAATTCCATTTAAGGTGCCAGTGGGAAGAGGAAAAGCCATGAAGAGACACAAGCCAAAGAGAATGTGGCAACCTTCTCTAAAGTAATTTCTGCATCAGCTGTGAGCCTTGTTCCTTCTTCACTCAGCTGCCAAGATAAATTTGTTCACATGGATGGTGTCTAATAATGATTAGGGCAACAGCAGTAGAGCACTATTGATCCTGGCCCCATTCTCAGTGGTTAGCTCAGCAGGGTTCACTCAGAAGCAGGGTCACGCAGTGCATTTTACTACAGTGGGTGAGGCATAAAGATAAGAGATACAGACTGCAAGAGCTTGTCCCCTCATTCAGAAGTCAAGCATTCTTTCCCAGACATTCCTAAAAGAGAGATTTTCACTGAATAAAAAATTTTAGAAAGCAGTAATATTGCTCTAGTAATTCCTATCACACATTATAATCCCTGTTTCATACCAATGTATTTCTTTGCTTTGGCAGCAATATAAAAGATTATTTCCTCAAGCAGGTTAGGAAATGTTTATTTTTTACACTCCATTAAAAAAAATGAAATGGTCATGAAAAGTTGTAGCCTTCCCTGAAGTTTTCCTTATGTTTCCAGCTTCCAGCAAGTCCCATGCCTACATACACACTCTTGAATTTTTGGGTTACCCACAGCAGTTATTTTATTAAGGACTGTGTGACACAGGCAAACAGCTGAAAGTGAAACATTTTAGCCAGCCTTATGGTTTTCAAAGACAGGCTTCGCTTCTGCACCATGGCTCACCTACTGAAAGCAGTCTTCAAGCTTCTGTGATCTCTCTAGATCCCTGCTCCTGCTGTTGGCCTGGAAAGTACCACATTATCGCTGTTTTCCCACAGCCTCAGTGCAAGAACACATACGAACATTTCCACTACGCTAAACATTAGGAGCAGATGTTTTCAGCACAGAGTATTCCTTTGGTAGCCCCATACTATCTAGAAGATTACTTCCTCATTAAAAGAGAGGCGGACAGACAACAGGCATGCAATGTAGTGATACAGTGCACATCCCTCACTTCCTATCGCCTACAGCACAGGCACTGGATTTATGGTGAGCTTGCATCATACACAGGCACTCAGTTTTGCAATGGAGTTACCAAATCAAACCAGCAGCATTTCCCACTTTGCACAAGCAAGGAAGACGCACAGTGGTGGTGAATCTGGCCCTGCAGTTCTGTTCTCACCCTGATTTATGAAGGTATCATTAACTCCCATAAATTTATGACATTGTCTCAGCACACACATGCCAAGAGAATGAAGACCACTGTCTTGTTTTCTCCTTTGCGAACACTGGCAGCAAAGGCCAAAGAATTCTCCATGCCAGCATTCACTAAAACAAAAGCTGGCTTAATCTTGCAAGGCCTTTTACTTAGATCTCATTAGCTTTTTGTTTCTCTTTCTCTCCCTTCCCACCCCCAACTCGCATTAAAGTCTATGCCTCTCTAGAAAGTTTATCAGACTCAGAGTCCCAAGAGGGGACTCATGGCTGGCCAGGCTGGCTACAGGGAGAGATTATTTTGTTTGGAGAATGTTTGTGTTTCACCACAAAAATGAGTGACTATTTTCCTTTGCTCTAAACAAAAGAAGATCCATTTGGTTTGCATAACTCTGGCCATCTGACTCCTTCCTGGAAAACTTACATAGGGAAACCAAACAAAACAACACTTCTCATCTGCTATTGCATCTGTATCTGCAGGATGCATTTGAAAGAACGCCGCTTTTCTTGACTGCTACAGAAAAAACTTGCTGTATTCCTGCGCAGTAAGAGGTGGGCCTGAATGCTCCCAAACTCTAGATCTCGTGCCAAAAATCTGAATTTTGTGGTTTGGACTCCTCTCAGCTGACAGTACTAGTGGAAGAGCTGTGGAAGGCGGGGGGCGGAGCGCTCGACTCGATGTCGCTGACTTCGCTGCCCAGGAAGTGATTTCTGTTCTCGGCTCGGCCGCTAGCCGGCTGTGTAACCGTGAAGAAATCACTTTGCCTCCTTTGACAACTTTATAGAAAGAATGCCCAGGCCTTGGTCGCATCTCAGACACCAATCAAGGGCAGAGCTTGGACGTCTTCAGGAAATATTGCAGTGCCTCACTTTTGAGAAAGTCCGCCCACAGTAATGGGCACAATTTGCTCCTTACCTATCCACCTCTAATCACTCCATCAAGCAAAATAAGATTCTCACTGTATAAAACCCCCCCACAGGACACTGCACTCATGGGCAACTGAAACTAGTCAGCCCTGAGGCATAAGCCATTCACAGCAGTGTGCAGAAATGGAGAAGGGTCAAACAGCTCACAAAAATACATCTGTTTTCTGTGCATGCCCTTTCAACAAGGTACTTTCTACTACTGCTCAAATTCCTGTAATTCGCTACCCAGCATTCCTACACCTTTTAACAACTATCTGTAGCCTGTAAAATCTATTATTCCCAGCATTAGTGAACAGTTTCTTTTGCCATTAGCAGGGTGTAACCTTTTGGCAAGCCAACCATAATAATAAAAGCCTCAATATATGCATGATGTTTTAACACAGAAGAGCAAACCTCAATAAAATAGACGTACAAAAACCCAAAGAAAGTGACCAAGACGGATCGTAGTACTTTCTTTTAGCCATATAACCAAGCCAAAATTAGCAGCCTTTTCTTTGGTTAATGGTTCATCCAAGAACCAACTGGCATACTGAAAACTCACTGCAAAGATCCCATACAAATGGGTTTAAGAAAGCACAACATTTTCAAATTGCCACCGCGATATCGCAAGTGCTGATTGTTGGGCTCGCAGTATCAGCAATATTTTAGTCCAGAAAAGGCTGCAAAAGCTGTTTGCCAAACTTCCCATATATCACAGACTAAAAATTTCCTTCTGTTATCCCAGTATTTATGATTTGCATTCAACTAAAGTAAGTCTCAGAAAACACTTTAACCTTGTCTTCTGTTAGTGTAGGAGAGAAGACTCTGGTCTGTTAGACTAGTACAGCTAAATTGGGGGTGGGAGTCTGGCTGCTCTCACATAAGACTCCCTCAGGAACAGCTGTGCTAAGACGGCTGTTCTCTGTACCTCAGCCCACTCGAGATGGGTAGCCCTGAGCCGTCGTGAGCCTGAGCACTTCCATTGTCCCTTTGTCACCTCAGATGAGGCAAAATAGCTCCATAATTCTCTGCACCGCCTACTAAAACACAATCTCTGTTCATCCTGGCTGACTCCTCCTCTTATGCCACTCCTTGTGACAACTCTGCAAACAAAGTTTTTATTTCAAACCCATTTTGTGGGGAGATAGGAATGTAGAAAGACACTGGAACACTCTCTGAGCTAGAGAAACTGCCTGCAAGAAAGACCCATAAATAAGAAAT